AAAATCTTTAAAAAAAAAAATAAATAAATAAATAAAAGGAGGCCTACAACATGCTTTTTCTCCACATCACTATTTAAATTATTTCCTTAACGCTTAATATGTATTGTTATTTTTATTATAATCAAATGCATACTATTTGCTAGGCATTATGATAGTTTTTAATCTTTCTAACATCCTCTTCATGTCTTACCATCACTATTTTTTTAAAATTGTTAAGTTTTTATTTAATTTATAAAAGAATAAATATTTAATTTATTTAATTAAAAAGAGTGTAATATTAGTGTCACGTATACAGTATAGTGATTCAACACTTCTATACAACACCCAGTGCTCATCACCTATTTAGCTCATCTCCCTACCCACCTCCCCACTGGTAACCAGCAGTTTGTTCTCTATAGTTAAGAATCTGCATCTTTGTTTGTCTCCCTCTCTTTTTATCTTCCCTTTGCTCGCTTGTTTTGTTTCTTAAATTTCAAGTGAGTGAAATCACCTGGTATTTGTCTTTCTGACTTATTTTGCTTAGCGTAATACTCTCTAGCTCCATCCAGGTCATGGCAAAGATAAAAGACTTCACTAAAAAAGAGAAATACGGGTCAATATCCCTGATGGACATGGATGCAAACATTCTCAATAAACTACTGGCAAACAAAATCCAATAATACATTAAAAAAATCATTCACCACGATTAGGTGGGATTTATTCCTGGGTTGCAAGGGTGGTTCAATATTTGCAAATCAATCAACATGATACATCACATTGATAAAAGAAAGGATAAGAACCATATCATTTCAACAGATGCAGAAAAAGCATTTGACAAAGTATAACATTCACTCATGACAAAAATACTCAACAAAGTAGGTTTATTTTATTTATTTATTTTAAAAGATTTTATTCATTTATTTGAGAGAGAGTAAGAGAGAGAGAGATCACAAACAGGGGGAAGGATAGAGGAAGAAGCAGACTCCGTGCCGAGCAGGACCCTGGGATCATGACTTGAGCCCATGGCAGACGCTTAACCGACTGAACCACTCAGGCACCCAACAAAGTAGATTTAGAGGGAACATACCTCAACATAATAAAGGCCATATATGAAAAACCCACAGCTAATATCATCCTCAATGGGGAAAAACTGAAAGCTTTTTCCTTATGGTCAGGAACACGACAGGGATGTCCACCCTCACCACTGTTATTTAACACAGTACTGGAAGTCCTAGCCTCAGCAATCAGACAACAAAAAGAAATAAAAGGCATCCAAATTGACAAGGAAGAAGTAAAACTTCCACTATTTGCAGATGACATCATACTCTGTATAGAAAACCCAAGAAACTCCACCAAAAAATGGCTACAACTGATACATGAATTCAGTAAAGTCCCAGGATACAAAATCAACATACAAAAATCTGTTGCATTTCTCTACACCAATAATGAAGCAGCAGAAGGAGAAATTAAGGAATCGATCCCATTTACAATTATACCAAAAACCATAAGATACCTAGGAATAAACCTAACCAAAGAGGTAAAAGACCTGTACTCTGCAAACTACAGAACACTGATGAAAGAAAATGAAGAAGGACACAAAGAAATGGGAAGACATTCCATGGTCATGGATGGAAAGAACAAATATTGTTAAAATGTTTATACTCCCCAAAGCAATCTACACATTTAATGCAATCCCTATCAAAATACCACCAGCATTTTTCACAGAGCTAGAACAATCAATCCTAAAATTTGTATGGAACCACAAAAGACCCCGAATAGCTAAAGATATCTTGAAAAAGAAAAGCAAAGCAGGAGGCATCACAGTTCTGAACTTCAAGCTCTATTACACAGCTGTAATCTAGAAGACAGTGTGGTACTGGCACAAAAACAGACACATAGATCAATGGAACAGAATAGAGAGCCCAGAAATGAACCCACACCTATACAGTCAATTAATCTTCAACAAAGAGGAAAGAATATCCAAAAGGAAAAAGTCTCTTCAACAAGTAGTATTGGGAAAACTGGTCAGCTACATGCAAAAGAATGAAACTGGAGCACTTTCTTACACCTTACACAAAAATAAACTCAAACTGGATTAAAGACCTAAATATGACACATGAAACCATTAAAATCCTAGAGGAGAACACAGGCAGTAACTTCTTTGACATTGGCCATAGCAACTTCCTCCCAGATATGTCTCCTAAGGCAAGGGAAACAAAAGCAAAAATAAACTATTGGGACTACATCAAAATAAAAAGCTGCACAGCAAAGGAAACCATGAGCAAAACTAAAAGGCAACATATGAAATGGGAGAAGATATTTGCAAATGGCATATCTGATAAAGGGTTAGTATCTAAAATCTATAAGGAACTTATAAAATTCAATGCCCCAAAAATGAATAATCCAATTAAAAAATGCACAGAAGATATGAATAGACGTTTTTCCAAAGAAGATATCCAGATGGCCAATAGACACATGAAAAGATGCTCAACATCAATCATCATCAGGGAAATGGAAACCAAAACTACAATGAGGTTATCACCTCACACCTGTCAGAATGGCTAAAATCAACAACACAAGAAACAACAGGTGTTGGTGAGGATGTGGAGAAAGGGGAACCCTCTTGCATTGCTGGTGGGAATACAAACTGGGGCAGCCACTCTGGAAAACAGTATGGAGGTTCCTCAAAAAGTTAAAAATAGAACTACCCTATGATCCAGCAATTGCACTACTAGGTATTTACCCAAAGAATACAAATACACTAATTCAAAGGGATACATATACCTTGATATTTATAAAGCAGCATTATCTACAATAGCTAAATTATGGAAAGAGCCCAAATGTCCCTTCACTGATGAATGGATAGAAAAGATGTGGTGTGTATACATATAAATATATGTATATATATATAATGGAATATTACTCGTGTATAAATATAAATATGTGTGTGTGTGTGTGTGTGTGTATATATATATATATATATATATAATGGAATATTACTCAGCCATAAAAAAGAATAAAATCTTGCCATTTGCAATGATGTGGATAGAACTAGAGAGCATTATGCTAAGTGAAATAAGTTAGTCAGAGAAAGACAAATACCATATGATTTCACTCAACATGTTTTTTTGAATGCAAATTTATACACTAAATGTAGCCTCAGTTACTAATGTCTTGAAAATGAGTCCCACGGTTAAATATAACTTTCATTTAGAAAAACAAAGAAATTCTCCTTCCTACTGTCTTGCAGATCTTATCTTTTAAAATCACAGAAAGTGTCATTTTTACCAGAAGAGGGGAAAAGTTAAAGCCTTAGAAAATTTAACTTTACATTTTATGTATTATGGGCTCTTAAAAATTTGAGATAAATGCTTTTTTTGGTAAAGTCTAAAATTACTGAATTAAGGAAGAAAAATGGTTGGTAATCCCATTTATTTATTTTATTTTATTAAATTTATTTTCTTTTATTTCATTTATTAATTTATTTTTTATTTTATTAAAAAATTACTTTTTAAAATTTATGTTATTAAAAAAAAACAAAAATAAAACTCAGAAGTTTTGAGCATTCTCCTCCCATAAGTTAACTGTGGCATTTCAAAGTCAGGGCTTAATAAATCAATGTGGAATGGGATATGTGGCTATATAACTGACTATATGGTGTATTCTGTTTTTCAAAAAATTATTTCACATAAGTCTTGCTTATCCACCATTGAGTGAACTTGCACAGATGATACTGTATTCTGACTCCTCTTCTTAAAGTGTATGTTTTCTGTATTTTTCTGTCATAGTTGTAGAACATGAAAAATTCGGTGTTCAGTCATTCTTACCAACCACAGAAGTATTGCCTAGCAAGTGAATAATCAAGACAAAAACATGAAAAAGCCCAGACTCAACATAATGCCATGCTTAAGAGATACCATCTTCATGAATAAATTCTAAAATATAGGTCATTAGTCCAACTTTGTTATTTAAAGTGTGCCAAAACACCCAGATTTACAGCTGTATTGAGAACCTACAGCTTTATATAGGTGACTGGTAGAAATAATTTGGGCGAGAAACAAAATACCTGCAGATACCATATCTGCTGTATAGATATCTATATTATAGATACAAACACATTTGTATAATAGATATTTGTATTACTATTTTGTCAGAACCAAGGTACAGAACTGAAAGAAACAGAATTAAAGCTAAATAAAAATAAATTCTTACCTAGTAACTTGTGTCCCAGTTACATTTTCCAACATGTCACAGAGTGTGAGAAATATCCCTCTCACACTTTTAAGTTTCTGAGATGCATCAGATACTGGACAATGATAAAGAATTTCCTGCTGTTAAATGAAAAGAAATAGAAATGATCAACCTCCCGTATTTTCCAACCATTATTTTGGTCATGGAAAGTTCAGAATTTACCATGAAGAAAAGAACAAAAAATGAATCCTTTCAGCTTCAGAGGAAGCTTTATTCAAACAAACACAAGGAGGGAATTATGTCTGGAATTTTAACACATTACCTAGTATTTAAAACACTACATTTGAAAGTAAGTTACAGACTGTCAAACTGGTCATAATACCAAAATATATACTGAGTAGGACACTGATTAGTTAGAATAATTACAATTAATTTCACTGTTTTAAACTTTAATCTCCTTTACAATAAATTCTAATAATGATATTTTATTATTTTTCATTATATAATTTTTCTTATCTCCTATGGTAGCATATCTACATAGATACCACACGTAACTTGTAAGAGTCTTTAATTACTTTCATTACTGACATTTAAAAGATAACCTTCATCATCTTGGGTGAAATCATCATTAAATCTTTATTTTAACCCAAGACAATACTGCAATTAAATTTACAAAGAATATAAAATTATAGTAGCGCAGATAGAATGCAGTATTTATGATGTTATGATATCTTATCTGTCTTAAATTTAAGAGGGTTTTCCCACCACAAATTAATCTGAATTCAAACTTTAAAAGAAAGCACATTTTATTTTATTTTTTTTAATTTTTTAAAAAGATTTTATTTATTTATTTGACAGAGAGAGACACAGCAAGAGAGGGGACACAGCAGGGGGAGTGGGAGAGGGAGAAGCAGGCTTCCCACCAAGCAGGGAGCCCGATGCGGGGCTCGATCCCAGGACCCTGGGACCATGATCTGAGCCAAAGGCAGACGAAGAAAGCACATTTTAAATCATGGGAAAAAAACTAGACTATAAGATAATTCACAAAATGCTCAATATTTTTTTTGTTTTCAAGAAGAGCATGTTCCCAGGAAACAGTTTTTACAAAATAAAATAAACTTCAAAATTAGGATGTGCATTGTGCTAGGAGTTTTACACAAAGGGATGAACCATTCTGTAGCTCACTTTTTTTGTTGTGACTTAAGGCAACATGCTATTTTTCTCACAAGGCAAACTAAAAGCTGGCAAAATAAAAATTTCTAGATAGAAACCATAGAGAATTTGGAGTAGCTCCCAGTTATGCTATTTAATATTTAACATCTCTAAATATTAATACAGCTACTATTGAAAGCCCAAACTCCTAAAATGTATCTTTTCTTTGGTTCTCTTTCTAAAGAGTGTTCTATATCTTGTTTTGGTCTTTCTTTACAAGAAATAATTACGTGACTTAGTGTCCATGTCTTGGCAACTTTCACATTAGGACAAATATAAATAATGATAAACTAGACACAACTTTTTAATACTTATTGAGCACATTCAGTATATGCAAATTGCTATAGAATATGTTGGCCAAATGCACTCTGCCTAACACTCAAATTTTCTTGTAATATTTCTAGTATAAAAACAGTCACAAAAATTTTATCTTTAGAAATTAGGCCAAACATCAGTTAAGATCTTCTATTATGCTTACTTAATAAATTTAAACCTTGACTAGTAAATACACATTGCATTTAGCCAAATACCAAACACCACTTTAAACAAATAACCACATAGTCTTCGATTAGGTTTTCGAAATTTCTAAATCTTATAACTTGAAGAAGACAAGTTTTTATTAAATATGTAACTCACATGAAAACAAAATGACCCTATGACATTTTATTGTAAAATAAGTCACACCAGCAAAACAGGTCATTTGAGAAAGTCTCTTCCAATCTCTGCAGCAACCAGCTCAGAGAGCCTCACTATTAAGGACCTGGCAAACTCTACAGTTCCTAACCAATTTAATTAGCTGTAGTCTTTAGGCACTTGTTAGTAGCATGCATTTGCAGCAGCTTCCACTCTGTTCAGTAAGAATAAAAAGCCTCTCCTAATTACAATGTTGATATAGGGCTGTCAATAGACAGAAACCTGTTCATCTGAGAAACAGCTACACACTTTCCCATGGAAAGAAAGGCAAAGATGACAAAACGCTTTAGCGGTATTCTACTCCAAGATGACCTAGAAAGTTTCAGGGTGCTACCATCGTGGAATTTTGTTCTGTGTTTTATATAATAAATGGTTAATTTTCTCATTTGCTTTAAGGTATAAAAGATTAGTAATACATGCAAGAAATCAGAATAATTAACTTTAGGTCTCTCACGTTTTTGGAACACGGAAAATTACAAAAAATACCTAGAAGTAAATCCCTTCTTTTCCATCTCAATTACTGACCAAATTTTGATATATGAAGATGCAACACAAGGAAATGCAGCCCTTGGATAAAATGGCTCTGGCAATCAGAATATAGCCTGCAAGGATTTCAACAGCAAAGAAATGTAAATTAGGTAACAACTTTTTAGATCGCACTTCTCCTCAAAGCACTGTGGTAAACTGGACACTTTGAGAGACCCTGATGCTGTTTAAAACAAGTAGAGCTATGGCTAAAACATAATTTGCTGAACTGCTGGATATGTAAGAAGTAGAGAGGTTTCTAAGGACATCTTCTCCATACCCTTTCAACCTCCTTCCCCAGAACTGCAAAGCAAGCCAGGGCCTCAGCTGGCAGTGGTGAGGAGTGGGCAGAAGGACAGAGGCAGGATTGTCTTGAGGGCTGATGCCTACAACAGTGTCAATCAGGACCCTGGGTATTGGGCTAATCACTAAGTAAGCAAGCTGAACCTTGGACCACTGTGTTAAACCTGGACTCTTGAGAAAGCCTGGAGTACCTCAGGTCAGTGGCAGAAGCAGGAGAAGGAAGTTCTCTGGAGGAAGGCATTCCCACCTTCAAACCACAGGACTCCCAGAGATAAAATCAAGCAGTAAGTCTAGTCGGTGATCACCAAGGACACAAGAAGGCAAACCACCACACGTCAGAGTCCTTTTGGGACTTAGAGATGGTAGAATGGGCAGATACAGAATAGAGAACACAGAATATGTATGAAATACTTGGAGAAATAAAGCACAGAATCACAAAGACAAGCAAGCAGCAAGAGACTACCAGGAATATTATGGCAGATTTGAAATACAGATTAAAGATTTTTCAGAAGCTCCTGAAAATAAAAATATGATTGCTTAAACAGAAAACACAAAAGAGAGGTTAAAAATAGTTTGGGCATAGTAGAAGCAAGAAATTAAAGAAAGAAAATAAAAGATTCCTTACAAAGGAATGGCTGACAATAGACTTACCAGCAATTACCGAAGTCAGAAGACAAAGGAATACTATCTTCAGATTAGAGAAAATAACTTTCTACCTGAATGACATAAGCAATACCATGTGTTGACTTCATCTTCTTCCTCACCACACAGGAAAACTACATTTTCTTACCTCCTTGCATTGGGAGAGACCATATAACTAGTTCCAGTCACTGGAACATGGGCAGGAGTGATGTTCCAACTTTTAAGTTAGGACTCTGAACTGCCTCATGGGATATTAGATGCTTTCTCTCTTCTCTCATTGGTGAACTAGATGCAAATGACCCAACAGAGGACTCCGAAGCCTTTGGAAATCATGGAAGCATTAGATGAAGGGCTCCAACCACTGAGCCACATGAGCAGGAACATTTATATTGAAATGAGAAATAAACTTCTATTATGTTAAGCCACTGGGACATCAGGGTTGTTACAGCAATTGGCCTATTCTAACTAATACAGTGTAGAATTATAAAGCACCTTTCAAGAAGAGGTGCAAAAAACACCATCAGATAAATATCAACAAAAAGAATTTACCATCAAGAGACTTTCACTATAAAGAAATGCCTAAAATACATGTCTTAAGAAGAAGAAAACTGATCAAATAAGGACAGTCTGAGATGTAAGAAAGAATAGTGAGTAAAGAAAATGGTAAGAATATATGTAAATTTAAAGGTTCATTTGTATGAATATAATGCATAAAATATACATTTTATAATGTATTACTTACATGTTTTATAATGTATAAAATGTAATAATAGTAGCAGGACTAGCATTATTATGCCCAATTTCTGGGATTAAAAAAATGACAGCACAGGGCGCCTGGGTGGTTCGGTTGGTTAAGCGTGTGACTCCTGATTTCAGCTCAGGTCATGATCTCAGGGTCGTGACATTGAGCCCTGCCTTGGGCTCCACACTGGGTGTGGAGCCTGCTTAAGATTCTCTCTCTCCCTTTCCCTTTGCCCCTCCCCCCCACTTATGTGCATACACGCACACTCTCTCTCTCTAAAATAAATAAATCTTTTAAAAAACCGATAGCACTAAAATACTGAGGAAAATAGCATGTATGTGAAGAGGGGATAATTGGAATTAAGGTGTACTAAGGGCCTTGAATTATTTTGAAAAAGAGTTAAGGTAGTATTATAGAATCTGTTAAGACAAATATCATGATAAAATTTTAAGAGCAATCACTAAAAAAAATAGAGTATACAGTAACCAATGATAGGTAAGAAAAATATTATGGAAAAAGTAGTTCAAATAGAAATCTTTAAAGAAGATGGTAGAAACAAATTCAAATAGTTCAGTAATCTGTATAAATGGACTCATTAGGCTTATCAGAAGACTGCTATGTGTAAGAGACATACCAAAACCATAAAGACACAGGATGACGGAAAAAAGTGCTTATTATTCACTTGAAAGACTATAAAAGGGCCTTAGTCTTTTCCCTTGCACTTTTGAGAAGGCACTCACCTCTTCCTTTGATGTTTCCGAGTCGAGCTGCAGTGTGAGATACATAACGATGTGAGGAGTGTTTAGGATATTTTGCTGGATACCTTTAACCTCTTCTCCCCACAGAAGTTTGACTAAATCATTTGTGTTTGACTGTGCCTTTTTCTGTCTTGGTTGAGTTGTTTCCTTTTTCACAGCATACGCATTTTCAAAAGTCAGTTTTACCTTTAACAAAACAATGTGTTGATTTTTCAACAAGGAAAGGTCAGCTGCAGTTTTCACAAAGAAGGGTCTATACATGCACAGACATTTAGATACACAGAGTATATCTAAAAATTGTCCTAGAATATGAACTCTTTGATGTCAAGAACTATGTATTCTATTTACATTTCTATCTCCAGCTCTTAGCCTAGTTTTTGGCACATATTATTACAAATATTTATTGAGTAAGAATTTATAATTCTCTGTACAAAAATTCATTATTTAAACTTAATCACTGTATTCTAAGTTACTGATAACAAAGAAATACCATGGAAAAACAAAAATTCATATAATCTCATAATTTCAAAAAGAGCAACACCATATTATGAATGCTGATAGCTCATCTGGGGAAGGGAAAAGGAAGAGATACAGGATTAAGAGGAACTGCATACAACCAGTTTAGTTTTCCTTTCAAGTGAGGTGATATTCAAGTATTTTTCTCTCAGACATTCCTCGTGGTCGTTTAAAATAAAGACCAATGAGAAAAAACTATCAGCATGCTAGATCTGGGACCATGAGCGTGAGAAGATTATCTACCCGTTTTATCAAGATAGTTTTATTCTCATGGCCTAATGTCAGACAAGATTGGTAAGAATTCAGAATGTGGCCATTTTCCAGTTGTTGAAAGGCAGCTTCCACTTCTCAATTACTTGTACTTGAAAAAGGAGTTATGTGTCTAGATGCCAGGTGGCCAAAGATAACTTGTTCATTTTAAAGAAGCACCAGTGTGTATCTTGACTAAAAGAAGGTTTCACTAGATATAGCTAATTTGGTGTAGTAAGAACATCATCATAAGCTATATAACCACAAAGTATTCCTAGTGTTTAAAATCTTATCAGAATACAGATGAGTAAAACAGGATATTCTAACTGAAATAATTCATAAAGTTTCATATTTAAACATTAAAGTGTAATGACTCTTTTAAAATTAGATTAAATTTTAAGTTAAAAAATAAATTCATGTTTGATCAAGAATAAAAAAGTCTGCTCAATATATGTATGTTAAATCATCACACTGTACACTTTAAAAAATCATGTACAACCTAAATATATACAATTTTTATTTGTCAATCATACCTCAATAAAGCTGGGGGGTGGGAAATGTCTAGCCAATATTTAAAAGCAGATAAAATTGTACACATTAAGTTGCATTTGGGAGGAAAATCTTTAAAAGTTATTATCAAGATGGGGCACCTGGGTGGCTCAGTCGGTTAAGCATCCGACTCTTGATTTCAGCTTAGGTCATGATCTCAGGGTCTTGGGAGCGAGCCCCATGTTGGGCTCCATGCTCAGTGGGGAGTCTGCTTGTCTCCCTCTGCCCCTCCCCCTGCTCACTCTCTCTCTCTCAAATAAGTAAATAAATCTTTTAAAAAAAGTTATCAAGATAGTAATAAATAATCCCTAATTTTTAATAATTTATTATAAGAGGTACCATTTTTTTTTTTTTAAGATTTTATTTATCTGACACAGAGAGAGAGCACATAAGCAGGGGAAGCGGCAGGCAGAGGGACAGGGAGAAGCAGGCTCCCTGGGTGAGCAGGGAGCCTGATGCAGGACTCGATCCCAGAACCCTGGGATCACGACCTCAGCCGAAGGCAGACGCTTAACCAACTTAACCACTCACGTGCCAAAGAGGTACCATTTTTAAGGCCAACTTTAAATGTGATAAATACTAACACATATAGTCACTCTTTTTAAAAATGAGCTTTATATATTTATATTTTTTCATCAAAAATATTAAGCATATTATTTTTACAAAATTCATTCATAATCCCACCAGCCCATCCAACTGTTATTAGTATTATACTATAAAATAAATTTGTCCTGATGAATAACCTTCCAAAAGATAAATATCTAAATATCCTTTTTTGTTGACAAGGCGTGACTATTTATGGTTGTAATCAATTTTGCCTATCTGTAGCTGTCTGTGCCATCTAAAGGGCACTACACTTTCTCTGTCTACCTAAAGTGAATTAGGTTAAATAAACATCTTTTCTAAAATAAGTCTCACATTTATTTTATTAACACGTAGAAAAGAAAAGAGACATGAGGTCTAAATTCATTAATATGTATATATTCAGGTCAAGATCAGCAGTAATCTGTATAGAAAGTAGAAGGGGAGAAATTCTTCATAAAATTTTCCTGAGGACTGATGATCATGTTTCTTTACAAAACATGTAATATTCCAAATGGAAAAGTCAACCTTTACTAAATTTTTTATGTTGGCTATAAACCTATTGAAAAATGGGCCCTTAATATTACAACACTATATCAAAAAAAGGCTGAGTAGAAAATTAATATATTTAGGGGGGAAAGAATAGGCAAACTAAACAAAAATATAAAAAACTAGAGATCCTATATGGGAACAATCAAGCATTATCTGATGAAACTTAATATAAGATTAAGGTGAGAGAGAGCTGAAGAGACACTGTTTTAGAAATGATCTTAGAAGGATGTGAAAAAGAATATTTTGGTGTGAGGTTCTGACCCAAACAAGCAACAGGTAAGCATTAGATGGCCTGAAAGACTATGTTCTGAGAGTTGCATCTGTTCTAGTGGGCAATGTTCGAAATATGTATACATAAATAGAAATACAAACATAAGCAAAAATATATAAAATCCTTGAACAAGGATCTCATGAAGTGAATGGCTTGGTGGTTGAGGGCCCTTTTATCTAAGAATGGTGATGTTCCTTGAAAATGTGAGAAATCTAAGAATTTGGGGAAATCCTGAACCCAGAGCTTATGCCAGCTTAGATGGGAGCTTTGAGACTGTTCCCAGCATTGGGCTTTGGCGAGGAGCTATGTATATGGGTGGAGGGGAGGGGAGAAATCTGACTGCAGGGAGCATGAGATGAGTGGCATCCTAGGGAAGCAGAATTCACAGAGACAGGCTGGGGGTCTGTTGGAGTGTCTGTGAGAGCTGTGCATACCAGCGGTGAACGAGGAGAAAGGTGGTCTTCAGAGAAAGAAATGTGCCTCAGCACATGGAGGGCATCTTTTCCAGCTAAGATTCTTGTGGATAGAGAGGTCAAAAGACTGGCTGTGACTCACCAAAAATGACAAAAGGAAATGAGGTGGTAAACTCAGAAACTTGCTAATTTTACTTTAGGCAGCAACAACGACCTAAAATTTAAGACTAGTTTGTTATGCTTAGTGAAAAATGACATACTTGCAAACTAACTGATGTTATACTTGGCAAACAACTGCACTTCGTTTCTGTGCTGTAAGGACATTTTCCCCTCACCATGTCAAAAACTCAAATACACACACCACAGAACCATCCATTAAAATTCTTTTAAGGACTATTTTAGCCACCATTCTTCTGATTTAAGTAAAGTTAGCTCCATTATGCAAAGATAATTATCCTTTAGCAAGACATTTTGAAAAGCTTACATGTTAAATAGCTATAAATTTCAGGATATCTGGTTGCCTTGATAAAATGATAATGGATGAGACAAATAACTAAATTAAGAGTTACGTGCTATTTTTAAAAAGGGGTTGATATACATAAATATTAAGAATATATTTTATAGAAAACTTTTATTAAGAAACATCTAGAGGGAGCACTTGGGTGGTTTAGTTGGTTGAGTATCTGACTCTTAATTTTGGCTCAGGTCATGATCTCAGGATCATGGGATGGACCCCACATCGGGCTCCGTGCTTAGTGTGGAGTCTGCTTGGGGTCCCTCCCTCTCTCCCTCTCCCTCTGCCCCCCCCCGGCTTGTGCTAAGTAAATAAATAAAATCTGAAAACAAAAACAAAAACAAAACCATCCAATATAAAATAGTTTACATGAAACTTCTTATAAAAGGGTTTTCTCTTCCTCCATGGGCATTAACCTGTGACATGTTTCATCATTCCTCATTGCCTATCTCTCTCAAAATGTTTTTTTGTGTGTGTGTGTGTGTATGTGCAATTTGCCCATCCTTTCATCCTTTCCTTCCAGTTCAGGAGATGGTGTGCCTTTCCTCGGATCCAAAGACATGTTCTTCATAACTCATCACTTCCAAAATCTTGTTTAATTATCCTCTCTCTGCTTCTATCTTTAACCCTTCCATTTAACAAGCAATGTCTCTTCAGCCTCTGTCAAACAAACAAGCAAATTCTTTCTTTCCGTTAGCTACCATGCCATCCTCTTCACAGATGGAATCCAGGGAGATTGTCAGAATCTGAAGCAGCTCCAAAAACTGACCAGTCTCTCACCTCTGCCTCACGGCCCTCATGGGGTCTCTGTCACAACATCTGCATTGCTATCTGCCTGTCTGGTCCTTTCTCCTTTATCAGGCAGATGCTTTGAATATTCCTCAGTCAAAATTCTTAAAAAAATAAGTCTATCTGACTCAGCAAATTCTCTCTCCTTGATCCTCTTCTCTTCAGGCAATCTCACTCACGATGAAACCTGGAAGGCATCTTGGACTTCTCTTTATCCTGCAGGAAGTACTGTCCTCATTGCTTTACATTATCTTAAATCTAATCTATTCCTTCCTCCATATCCACAGGTCTTTTTATCAGCTCTCAACTGGACTGCTGTGAAGCCAGTCACCTGATTTCCCAACCTCTAGTCCCATTCAGAGTGAAATATTCCTAAAATGCAAACCTGATCAAGTCAGTCCTCCATTTTAAAATATCCACACAGATGGTACTTCTGGGTTCTGAGAATAGAGTAGATTTACAATTTTTTTTTTAATTTTGCCAGTCTATTTCCTAATTTTTCCATGGCATATACATCACTTTTGTGTAACAAGGAAATAATAAAAGTTAAAACATTCCACTCAACCATCATCTCCTTTAAAAAGACGTTTCCCCCCTCTCTTGGATCTAAGAAATACTTGAAAGGTAACAGTCCAACACTAATGTTCTACAGGCTGATCTCCTATAAAAGGAGTTGGCTTCCTCCAAAGCTCCAGGAAAATGAACTATGGCCCAGTCCTTAACGCAATCAACCCTGGTCAACTGCAAATTTTGGAGCTCCCTAATCAAGCCAGGAATGGGTGGTATATGCTATAATATATACAGTTATGTGCTTGTTGAATAAATGAATGCATAGAGCTACAGCGGTAGATAAAGGTCACAAAGTCAGTAATTAGAAGGGTACTTGCACCTTTGTTCTTGTCATTTTAAATACCTAAAACCTCTTTTTCTCAAACCCACAACTTCTTACTTATTTTTAAAAATTTCAAACCTGTAGAAAAGTTGCAATAACATAATAATTACCCATGCATTATTCCTCACCTAGTTTCACCAATTAACATTTTGTCACATTTGCTTTCTCCTTCTCTTTTCTTACTCCCCTCTCCTGCCATCCTCCCCCCCACTTTATGTATTCAAAAAAAAAATTTGGCTGAATCACTTCACAATTATCTGCTGACATTTTAATGCTTTATTGCTAAATACCTGAGCATGTATCTCCTAAGGATAGGGGCCTTCTCCTACACAACCAAATATAATTATCACACTTAGGAATTTGAACATTAAATATAATACTGTTCTCGGGGTGCCTGGGTGGCTCAGTCATTAAGCGTCTGCCTTCGGCTCAAGTCATGATCCCAGAGTCCTGGGCTCGAGCCCCGCATTGGGGGGTCCCTGCTCAGCGGGAAGCCTGCTTTTCCTTCTCCCTCTGCCCCTGCTTGTGTTCCCTCTCTCACTGTGTCTCTCTCTGTCAAAAAAATAAATAAAATCTTTAAATACAAAAATAAAAAAATAGAGGGGAGGGGGGTGGGGGGATGGGTTAGCCCGGCGATAGGTATTAAAGAGGGCACGTACTGAATGGAGCACTGGGTGTTATACGCAAACAATGAATCATGGAACACTACATCAAAAACTAATGATGTAATGTATGGTGATTAACATAACATAATAAAATAAAAAAAAGAGAGAGAGAAAAAATAAATAAATAAAATACTGTTCTCAAAGTCTTTTCCCAATTTCCCCAATTGTCCCAATACAGCTGTTCCCCACTGCAATCCAGGATCAATTAAGGATTAGCCACTGCATTTAGTTATATGTCACTTCATTGTTCCTTAGTCTAGGACAATTCTCCAGCCTTTTTTTTCTTTCATAACAGATAACATTTTTGGAGAATCTAAGACAACTATTTTTGCACAATGTTAAAACTTGGCTTTAAAAGAAATGATTTGGGCTTTTTGTACCTCATCTAGCATATAGGTTTCACCTCTGGATTTCACTCTGGTATTCTGAATCTATTTTTTAACAGAACTTATTTAAAAATCAAGCAGAGAACTGTAGAGTTGGAACTGGGCTCAGATATATTTGCTCAGATCTCTTTGATTATAGATGAGAAAACTGAAACCCAGAACAGTTTGGCAACTTGCTCAGAGCAAGGTTTAAAATGGAGCTCTGACCTCATTCTACCACATTACCACATTGTAGATAGCTCCCAGGCCATCTTCTGTCAGATGACAAGAAGCGTTCAGACCATTTTTATACATCGAGTAGAAGTTTAAAATATTGCCGTTAGATAGTTCCAAATTTAAATGTTAAAAAGTCTCCTATGGTATTCTTTATAAATCAGCACTCCTCTTCTCTTACTGCTTGAATAACTGTTTCAGCTGCCATAGATACAAATCAGGTAAAACAACTTTTTCTGGAACAAGTCCACCTCAGTTAGTTCTGGCCAGGCGGGAATGAAGCCCCACCCAGGCTATGTGAGAGATGGAAGGATCATGCTCTTGAGTCAGTTTCAGTTCCTTGAGTTATTAATTCTGCAACCTTGGAGAAATCAGTAAATCTCTCTTAGATTCTTTTTCTTCACATACAAAATAGAAACACAATTATTGGTATCTTACAAACTGTTATGAGGAATAAATGAAATTACTAAAGGAAATGATATTAGCAAAGCACCAACATACTGCCTGATATGTACAAACACTAGTTCCCTTCCCAATTCTACTCCTGTCCTCCCTGAGCCTCCTATGAACCCCTTAGTTTACATGGCTGGTAGTTAGAAGCTTATACTTTACCCCCCTTTCAACACTAATGATGTAAGAAAAATGTGGTTTACTAATTAACATTACTCCTAGCTAAAGGAATTTTAACTATGTTCTAAATCATTATTAAAGATTCATCATGCTAAATGCTGGTGCTTGCTTTTGAGTACAACACAGCTATAATACCAATTCTGCTAGTAAAACAAACAAATGCATACATGTTTATACTCAAGGGGTTAAACTAGAATAAAATATTCCAAAATATTAATCATGAATATCCTCAGGTGATGGGATTTTCAAAGATTTTGTCCCTTACTTCTTCATATTTTCCAATTTTTACAATGAACATGTATTACCTTTATAATAAGAAGAAAGTTTATTTTCTTAAATAGAAAAGATTTTAAAAGATTTAAAAAAGATTTTAATAATATACATCTTATGACGGGGTTATATTCTCAAATTATATGCTGTCAAAATCACTCTGAGCTTACATTAGGAAGGCGAATGTGCTGGAGTATAACATACTCTCTCAATACGATAAATTCAAATAACTCAAAACAGTTTTTCTTCCATTTTCAAAACAAACGGCTGTTTCTTCATTTAGGCACAAGATGTACAAATTGGCACGTAAAAGCCATGTGCGTGCGTGCGTGTGTGCATGTGTGTGTATGTGTGTATTTAAATGCAGAACCACACTTAATGCAGCAAGATGCTCACGCCATAAAAGGCAAACTGGGCCAACAGCAGATATACGACTCCTACTTCCTACTTAACGAGGACATGTAAACAGTGGGTGGAGTTGGACCAAAATATTTAAATCATTCATTCATTCATTTTTTTTTTTTACTTCTAAGTATACATAGCTGAATTTGCAAATGTTAATTAAACATAAGTATAATGTGACTCCACTGAAAACGTAATTTTTTTTGGAAGATAGAAGAGCCGGGGTTGAACTCTGGCAACACTGGCAGACACCTGCTACTGCCAGAGGCAAGAAAGGAGGAGCCCGGACCCGGGGCTGACGTGTGGCCAGTTTACTTGGGTGAAGCTGTTTCAGTTGTTAAAATACTGTAATTCTTCATTACTGATTGGTAAGTAGCTGCTGTCTGGGCCCCCTGAGGTGCCCTAGTACCCTGGCTCACCCTAGGCCCTCTCCACATCTGACAACCAAAGGGGACAACAGTATACCCTATTTCAGCATTATGGCTGGTGTTTGCCTGATTGTCAGTATTTCAAACACCAATCTGTCTCCATCGACATCTCTTTATCCATTCATAGGCACTGCTGGTCACTGGCTGCCATAGTTATTCTAGCACTTTCATTTTGCATTTCCAAAGATAGCTACTTTTACAGAGCATCCATGTGTGTCTTTGCTGTGTGTGTATGTGTTTTAAGAGAAAGAAGTGAACATAAGGGAAATGCTATTTCTTAGACAATAAAGAATTTCATCATGGGTCCTACTATTTCAGAATCTCAAATCAGATGCAGGAAGATTCTGTTTTATCAGGGATTCTGTTCTTCATCCTGATCAATCCAGAAAGTAATTCCTCCTCGTTTTATAGAATATCTAACCTATCTAAAGCATATCATCCTTCTTACCCCTCAAAAGAGAGAAAGCTAATTCCTGATACTAACAAGAGCAGAGCATTCATAAACAGAAAGTACAGCACTTTCAAAATACATCTAATGACCTAAAAATGTCATCTATGATACAAAATGTCAATGCTTAGACTATCAAAATAACTATTATGAAAGAGATTTATTTTTACCTACAAGGAATGAAAAATAATTCACTAAGTAGCTAAATAAAAGCTCAGGAATAAGGCTAAAACTAGATAACAGAAAAAAAATCAAGAAAATAGTATAATTAGTTTTTTTTTCATTTCTTTTTTTAATTTAATTTAATTTAGTTTTTAAAATAAATAAAACCACATTAAAAAAAACTTTATAGGAATAGTGATTTTAATAAATCAGAGAAAAGAAAATTCCATGACTGTTTAAAATGACTTCTTTAGGAAATGGATCATCATCAACATATATAGTAGTCATAAAGGCAGGCTGGTCATTATATTTTTTTTTTATTATTGTCATTATTCCTGCTTTACACAGGAGTTTTATTTGCAGATATTTCTCTCTTTTTAGAATAATCTCCAAAAGCTAAAAATGTTAACAAGAGCTATAATTTTTTAAATAGTCAAGTATGTAAGTGTAACTCACCTTATACATGATAACTTTCAGAATCTTAAAAATGAAAACAGTACAGGATGTCTTTATTTTCTGTAATTCATCATAAAATACAAAAAAGACTGTTCATACCTGCATAGGTCCAGGAATGCAAGATAGAACTCTCTCTATGTTCTCAGAGGTCACATCAACATCATTCACAGCAACAAGAACATCACCTGAAAACAGAATAACAAAGGTCATTGTATGAATATCCAAAAACCAAAAAGATCTAGAATTGGAACATTAAAAGCATCTATTCCAACCTCTTCAAAATACTATGGAACTCATTATTATTATACAGCTCATAGCAGCAGAGCTAAGTTCCCTCTCCATTCTTTTCTTATATTATAATACAGGCCAATGTTGTGCCATAACTACAATCTATGGATATTTATTTATTTTTTTTTAGAAGATTTTATTTATCTATTTGACAGAAAGAGACACAGCGAGAGAGGGAACACAAGCAGGGGGAGTGGGAGAGGGAGAATCAGACTTCCCGCGGAGCAGGGAGCCTGATGCGGGGCTCGATCCCAGGACCTGGAATCATGACCTGAGCCGAAGGCAGATGCTTAATGACTGAGCCACCCAGGTGCCCCTACAACTTATGGATATTTAAAGAGATGAATATTCTCATTTTGGATACAACTGGGAGAATTATGTAAATTCAAAGGACAAATACAAAATTTGTAGCATAAACCAAGTACTGCACTTAGCAAAATTGAATCTAATCACTTAAAGACACAGTAAAAAAAATTGGCTGAAATTTTAATTAAATCCATGTGGTACATCATAACTCAATATGCTGTGGCATTCACTGCTATTATTGATCTGTGTCTACACTCAGCTCTTTGTTTCAAAGGCCCCAACCGTAACAAAATCCACAGCATGTTCTGCATGCCTGTGTGGCTCAGTTGTTGGGTGTCTCTGCCTTCAACTCAGGTCATGATCCCGGGGTCCTGGGATGGAGTCCTACACTGGGCTCCCTGCTCAGTGGGGAATCTGCTTCTCCCTCTGTCCCTCACCCCCACTCGTGCTCCTTCTCTCTCTCAAAAATAAATAAATAAAATTTAAAAAAACCCAACAAAAACAACAAAATCCACAGCATGTTTTGGTAAAAGCTCCTTTTCCATGGGTTTTCTTTAAATGTGTATGTTTATCAAATTTGGGGGCTTTCATAAAATAAAGATCAGTGTTAAAATGGAAATTTACTTTTGTAACATAATTAGAGATAATATCAAAATAACTGAGTTTTATTAATAGAAATATATACACACCAAGGTTATTTTTTATCATTCCTAAACATACCATTAAGAAATGGACCAAATAATTAATATTCATCTAACATATTTTTACTGAGCACCTACTGTGTGCCATGCACTGTTCTAGGCACCATAGATAGAGAATTGAACAGAACAGACAAAAATCTCTACCGTCATGGAGCTTCATACTCTGGGGAAAAAAATTATAAACACGTATATGGATAATAGTGTTGGTAGACGATTCGCCATCAGTCTCTCATGTTTTTGTACATCTTTCAAGGCAAGGCACTGAAGTCCTTGTTCTGGATTATTTTTTCAAGGATGGTTGTGTAGTGAACAGCCTTGGACAGTAGTGCTGTAGGGAGTAACCATCTGAAAACACGTCTAACAAAGTTCTAAAAGTAGGAGACATACATGTATTGTCATAACATATGAAAATTAATTTTAGAGTGAGTGTAGTATACATAATATTTTAAAATGTTTAGTAGAAAATTTTCTCCTTCTGTAAGAGAAGTGTTATATCCACTTCTCATTCTCCCAGATATTTGTTTTCCTCAAGTTTTTGTCAGCAACTCTGTGACTCAGAAACGGCAGGCTTCCTGGACATCCTATCACTTCAGTGGGCAAAGTTCTTTCTCAGCAAGCACACAGAGTCATTAGGATGCCCTGTCAAAGGCTGAAAGGAAATGAACTGCATGAAATTGTTTGAACCGCTAGGTAAGAAATGCGAATTACTGATGGAAAATTTTATCAAGATACATTCAAAAGTCAAATGAAATAGAAAGAGGTGAAATCAGTTTAAAACAGTGCTTAAATCAATTCCTCAATGTAAAATTAGTCATTTGAGAAAATCGATCATTGCATTCCTGAGCATCTACTTAATATCAAATGTGTACTGAAGGGCACCAAGGGCTATGAAAGTACATATGTCAAAGTTTGTTTACTACTCTATTTATACTATATGCAAAATGAATATACAGTTTAAGAAATTATTTTTAAAATAAAACTATTACACATAAATATAGAAAAAAGAAAAGATATATATACGTATATCTATAAAATGTTGCCTTTGGGTGTATGGGCTTTTTCTTTTTTTGCTTTATTTTCTAAACTGTCTACATTAAACAAATATTACTATTATAAAAACAAATTAAAACTCATTATTTTACTAAAAAAAACCCCACTGTGGTAGGCAGATAATGGTCCCCTAAAGTTGTTCACATCCTAATCACTGAAATCTCTCAATGTTACCTTACATGGCAAAAGGGACTTGGCATGTTAAGGATGTTGAGATCGGGAGATTAAGTGGCCCAATGTAATCACAGGGTATTTATAGGCAGGAGGCAGGAGGGTCAGAGTCAGAGAGAGATTTGAAAATGCTACACTGCTGGCTTTGAAGATGCAGGAAGGGACCACAAGACAAGGAGTTCAAGTGGCCTCTGAAAAGCTGGCCGAGTAACGGGATTTCTACCCTAGAGAATCCATAAGGAATGTAGCCCTGTGGATACTTTGATTTTAGTGCAAGAGGGCACATTTTCGACTTCTAAATTCCAGAACTGCAAGATGATAAATTTGTGTTGTTTTAAACCACTAAGTTTGTAGTAATTTGTCACAGTACCAATAGAAAATGAATACACCTGCCTAAAAATACAAAGCAGTCTTGGCTAAGCACCAAATGAGAATCATGGACCATGAATGAAAAAGAACAGGCCTGGATATACAAGGTACAACGAGGTCATTGGAGAAAAAACTAAATCAATCTTATTAGAAGGAGGGATTTATGCACAGAAGGACTGGAAATGTGTATGTGCCAGTGGGGTGGGATCAGACTGAGTTTAAATTGGTCTTTTAAATTAAGCTGAATTTGACTTCAGGGGGAAGAAAATCTCACTTTTTTGAAACACATTTACCATACTGCCATGTTATACATTCAAGTTAATGCATTTACTGTCAAGACATTTACTGAAAAATCCTTAAATTTTGAGAGAATTAACTTTATTATATATTTTTTGAGTGCCAATATCAATCCCTCATTTATAATATGCGGGCATAAGCAGAAAATTACGGTCTCTCCTGATCTATCATTCTAGAAATCCTTGAATAATAGTGGCTCATATATTGTAACTATCATTCAAAACATTTGATTAAGTTAAAGATCACATTGCCTGATGATGCCGGATAAGAAACTGGTGCAAGGTTTTTATTTCTCATTAAAATAGAAAATAATACTACAGAAATGTTGAAAAATTATTGATGACCCCAGCACTTTTAGCCATAATTATTTTCGCAAATTATTTTTAGTCTTTACTTACATTGACACAAATGAGGTATAAAGGAATTTCATCCTTTTAAACCTCTCAAGTAATAAGAATTTTTATGTTGGTACATAGTGTTTAGATTACAATTTTTAATAGCCAAATAATGCAGACATTTATTAAATTATAATTCAAATAACCATACTCCAGTTTGACATTTTCATGCTTTTTATTTTTATTCTTACTTAAAAAATGCTTAAATAAATGTTTTCATGCACATAGTTTTCCTTCTTTTACATCTGGGTTCAGCAAACTTTCTGTAAAGGGCCAGATAAGTAAATATTTTAGGCTCTGCAGGCCATATGGTTTTTGTTGCAGCCACTACTCTACTCTGCAACTGCAGTTCGAAAGCAGCAATAGACAATAAACGTATGAATGTGGATGTGCTCCAATACAATTTTATTTATGAACACTAACATGTGAATTTCACATAACTTTCATATGTAATAAAATACTGTTCTTTTGATTTTTATTTTTTAATCACTGAAAAGGTAAAAACCATTCTCAGTTTTCAGACTACAAAAATGAATGGTAGGACTGATCTGACATACAGGTCATGGTTTACAGATCTGTTTTAGATTATTTCTTTTGGATAAGTGTCCCAAAATGGATTAAATGGTTAAGTGGTACACTGTTGTAGCTTAATCCTTATTTCCAAATTACATTTTGGAAGGATTCAATAATTTCTTTTCTTTTTGGCTTCAAAGAGAAATCCTTCGGCATTCCCTCCACCCATTCAAGTGAAGCACTACAGCAAGTGAAAGAGTTTTGTGAATAGAAATCAGGACTTGTAGGTCCCAGCTTTATCACTGACTGCCCTCTGTTCTTGGTAAATCACGTAATCCTTCTGGTACTCATTTGTAGAAGGAAGTAACTGCACCAGAAACTCTCTAGGAAGGCCTAAAAACTCTAATTCTATCTTTGCAATGAAGTCACTGCTTGTTTCTTTCCTTTACTACTGGGTCAAGTACCACAGGTAAAATGTGGAAAAGAAATGATGTGAGGGAGGAGAGACAGAAAAGCACAGCGGAGTTACTTTCGTTAACAAAATTGAAATACTGGGGCACCTGGGTGGCTCAGTTGGTGAAGCGTGTGACTCTTGGTTTCAGCTTAGGTCATGATCTTGGGGTTATGAGATCGAGCCCCACAATGGGCTCCATGCTCAGCTCGGAGTCTGCTTGAGATTCTCTGTCCCTCTCTCTCCGCCCTTCTCCCGGCTTGCTCTCTCTCTCTCTAAAATAAATAAATAGGGATGCCTGGGTGGCTCAGTTGGTTAAGCATCTGCCTTTGGCTCAGGTCACGATCCCGGAGTCCTGGGATTGAGCCCCACATCTGGCTCCTTGCTCAGTGGGAGTCTGCTTCTCCCTCTGCCTGCCACTCTCCCTGTTTGTGCTCTCTATCTCTCTGACAAATGGACAAACAAAATCTTTAAAAATAATAATAAATAAAAATAAAATAAATAAATCTTTAAAAATAAAGGGAGGAAAAGAAAATTGAAATGTTTCAAGTATTACAGAAGGTGAAAATAAAAATGTGTATCAAATAACAACATACAAAATATTAGAGAATAAAACCATTCATTAGGTACTCACAAAAAACCAAACCTATCTTCTTAAAAAAGCACTTCAAATGTTTTAACTGGAAACAACCAGAATGTCCATCAACAGTGAAATGGAAAAATGAATATACAATGGAATACTACATAGCAACAGCCTGGATATTTCTCACAGATTATAAAATAAAGAAAGTAAGTGCAAGAGAATACACACTTTATATTTCCTTTTTTTTTTTTTGTAAGATTTTATTTATCCATTTGACAGAGAGAGACACAGCAAGAGAGGGAGCACAAGCAGGGGGGAGTAGGAGAGGGAGAAGTAGGCTTCCTGCTGAGCAGGAAGCCCAATACGGGGCTCAATCCCAGGTCCCAGGTCCCTGGGATCCTGACCTGAGCCAAAGGCAGACGTTTAACGACTGAGCCACCCAGGCGCCCCTTTATACTTCCTTTAAATGAAGTTTAAGAAGGGGTAAAATTAAAAAAAAAAAAAAGAAGAAGAAGAGGAGGAGGAAAAATCAACTCTGTTAATAGAAAACTTGACTTTCAGAAGGGAGAGGGTATTAACTGGGAGGAGGCACCACGGAGCCTTCTGGGTACTGGAAATGTTCTTTATCTTGATCTGGGTGGTAGTTACACAGGCATATAACATATGTCAGGATTTGCTGAATGTACACTTAAGATTTGTCCATGTTATGAATATATGTTATGCCTCAAAAAGATTTTTAAAAAGTAAATAAACTGCAAAAAAATTAAAAGAGAAATAGCACAAATGTGTCATATAAAACAAAGTTATTCAGTGATCACAGGTGAGAACATTAGAAGTTGCACAAAAAGCACTTAAAATAAAAACTTTGTTTTATTGTTGAGCAGAAACATTCTACAGGGATATGTGTGTCTACAACATTAATGTGATTTCTTTAGCCCTATCCTTTCCAATCCTTAAAAAACACCTAGTTAAAATGAGTAAAAATGGGTCATCTTGAAAAAAAAATCACCAAGGTGATACGCAGTTTCTAGGATACAGGTAAAGAGGATATGCTTTGGTCTAGGGATAGAGGCTGGCTACCGGTAATTAAGGAGCAATCAGCTGTCAAACTTTTTTTTTTTTTTAAGATTTATTTATTTTTTTGAGCGAGAGAGCACATGCACACTCTCATGTGCATGGGGGTGGGGAGGAGCAGGGAAGGGGCAGAGGGAGAAGGAGAGAGTCTTAAGCAGGCTCCACGCTGGGCATGGAGCCCAACATGGGGCTTGAACTCAACCCTGAGATCATGACCTGAGCTGGAAATCAAGAGTTGGATGCTTAACTGACTGAGCTGCCCTGGTGCCCCTCAGCGGTCAGTCTTTAAGAAAAACTCAGAAATAAAAAATAAAGATGCAAGTCAGCAGCAAGAACAGCAAAAATGGCACTAGAAAATGCAGCAAAACCCCCAAAACCCCAGGAAAGGAGAATCAGAATAGAACAGAGGTCTACTGTCATGAAAGGAAAGAATGAAAACAGTCACCAGTCTGTGTTGCCCAATGCACTTTAGTCAAAGGAGGGTCATTCTCCAGCTAGACAATGGCAGAAATCACCCCAGCAAACTGCTTTACCAGGACAAAGTTTTCAAGATCCTCCTGCCTATGGGGTTACCTCACAGTTCAACCACAGACTTCAGTGTAAAATGAAACCATGAAAGAAACAAATGAGAAAATTCAGTGCTGGGGGATTATCAAAGTCACTATGATATTAAAATTGTCCATTATTTATTCCCAAAGTATGTAACTTTAAAAATATACAACATCACCATAAAGTTAAAAATCTGAAAAAAGAGAAAACCAACCACCTATAACGTCTCCACACAAACCCAACACTATTAGCATTTTGCGGTATTTATATTTACTTCCAATTGTTTTCCCTGCACATAGTTTTCTACATAGTTTATGCATTTATTTAATAAATGTTTTTGAGGGCTTATTTATCAACCAAGCATTTTGCTATGCACCAAGGATGAAATAATCATTTTATTTTGACAAATCTTTTTTTTTTACTTATTGGTAAATCAGAAACTTTTCCATTATGAAACTGAAATCATGAACTTCATTTTTCTGCCTTTTCATTGCTATTCATACACATGCAGAAAAGTGTACAAACTATAATGGTACAACAATAAATTATCAAAAAGTGAACATACCCACGTAACCACACTCAAGTCAGAAAGTATACTATCAGCATCCTGTGTATCTTTAAATTATTTTAAAGATAAACAACAGGACTACCTAGCAGCCTCTTCCTCTCTATAGTTCATTCTCTTCCCTCCCATACAGATGGTGCAAAAAGATCAGGTCTAGAGGTAAGGGGCATTCCTAGAGGGTTCGGCAGACTGGAGTGAGGATCAGGGGAAAGGAAACATGGAATGGGACACTCACTGACCATAACCACCTCTCCACTAGGTTTCAAGGGAAATGGGTAAAAAGAATTTTAGAGATTTGTCTACAAATCAGTCCAATTAGGTCCTGAGCAGAGGCCCCAGATAAATATAGGAGTTACGGTGGTTGATAACAACCAGGCAAGATGTCATAAGCATGAATTCTGGCATCCTCTGACAGAACGAAAAGAATAAACCTTAGAGACATTTTACAAAAAAGGAAGTTGAGCACCTGAGAGAATGTAAGCATGATATTAGCTTCTGTTCCAGCTATCCGCTGCTGTATAACGAATGACCCCGAAACTTCGGAGTTTAAAACAACCACCACCATTTATTATCTTTCCTGGTTCTGGGGTTGACTGGGCTTAGCTGAGGTTTTCACTTGGGGTTCCCTCTGTGGTTGCAGACACATGGTGGTTGGGGCTGGAATTTTCTGGAAGGCTTCTTCACTCATGTGTGGTAGCTGATGCTGCAGGGTGGCTGAGGCCTCAGCTGGGGTGATCAGCCAGAATAGTATTCATGGCCTCTTCATATGGATCGGCCTTGCTCACACAATGGCAACTGGGTTCCAAGAACACCAGGCAGAAGCTGCATCCCCTTTTATGATCCCTATACTCTGAAATCACATAGTACTACTTAAGCTGTAGTCCAGGCCCACAGTGGTAGGGAAGGGAGGACACAAAAACTTAACTCTCCATGGGAGGAGTATCAACACTGCATTGTTAAGAAGAGAATGTGGAGATCTTGTTGCAACCATTTGGAACACACACTGCATAGATGCTCTTCCTATGTGATTCATTCTTGTAAACCCTATCATGGCACTTATCATACTATGCGAAACTGCCTGCTTATTTCTGACCCACCTCCTGCACCACAGTAGGAGCTTCTTAAGAGGAGTGAGTGGATCCTTAGAGTAATCTTTGTATTCCTGACACTTAGCAGATGCTCAAAAATTTTGTGGACTCAGTGAACAAACAAATGCAACTTAGACTTAAAGAAATATTTTTAAATGTTTCTAAGGTAGCTATAAAAGTTTCTGTATCTAAATCTGGTAGGCTGAGTCAACTTTAAAGACTGCCAGCTTTTAGATTTGTTAATAACTTTTAAGTTTCATTAATAATATATTCTCACATTTGACTAATATAGCTTTTACCTAAGTAACGAAATTGCCTCTAACTCAAGCATTATATCCAACAGCGGAAAATGTATCAGCAATACAAAATGCTCCCCTTAATATATATTCAGAATAACTTTCGGATATATTTTTTTTTCCCTTCAAATTGATGAGATATTTTATGACAAGCACCCTTAAAAGGAAATTTATGTATAACATCACTGTTGCTAAATATGCCAGACGAAACAGTTTAAAACCACTCCAAGAACTTAGTGTACTCAAGTGCAAACATACAATTTAAAAGTATTTTTATTCATAAATTACATATTTTTATATCATGCTATTGGATATAGGTCATTCAAATCTAAAATATCACTGTAAAATTAACTTATTTTCTTTTTCTTGTCAGCAAACATAACCAAGATGAAATAAAATGATATAATTCAAAACTCAAAAATTAGTTAAGCTATTCCTTGGCCTAAACAAGGCACACACATATTCAACTCACCAAAGTACTTATTTTAAGAACATCATGCCTTGTAGTACACCATGATTAACAATTTCACTACTGTCCCAAATATCATCAAGCAGTCCTTAATCTGTTAAGACTTTGGATATAATTGTTTTGATCACGTCTCACAAGGCATCACTAATCATGAATCTCTGCAAACAAGCACAATGTTCACCAGCAACACTTACCAATTAATATCTGACCACTCTTCATGGCAGAGCCTCCTGGCAGCAGGCCATGGACCACAAGTCTCTCTCCACTGCCCTGTTTTCCACTTTTTTTCCAGCTCCACTTGGTCTGATGGATAATCCCAACCAGGACTTCCAGAAGCTTGAGCTGCTCTTTGGCCTTGGTCACAGTTAACTTTTTGGGGTTTACATAAATATTCACATCCTTGTACCGCTGTTGGACAACAACTCCTGTTTTCTGATTGGATTGATGCTTTAGAATGGACACCGGCCCATTGTCATTACTATTTTTTTTATTGTAGCGCTTAGGTAGAAGACTTTTAGTTTTTAAAATTTTGGTAAACCGCTTGAGTTTAGGTTCATACTTTTTTCCTTCTTTGTAATCATCCTCTTCAATTATAATCTCATTTTCACTGAACCTGACATGGTTCACTGTAGGAGTCTCAGGAAGGAGGCTTTCTTCTTCATCCTCACTCAATTCCAAATAAAATAATTCTCCATTTTTCTGCACACTGTCCAGCCATTCAGGTTCAACATCACTGTGAAAAATAGAAAAGATACTCTGAATAGCAGCCAAACATAAGAAAAATAGTTATGTCTTTCAGGCACTGGGGGTGCAGGGAGGTGGGAGGAGGTGAAAGTTCTTTGATTCTTTCAAAGTCTCCTTACTATTTCTGATTTATTATAAGCATCAACATTATTTTCTAGGACACTTTTTAAGAGTCTTGAAGAAATGGGGTTGGAGGAGAGGGTATCAAAAAAGCATAGTGATAGAAAACAAAAAAAGGAGATGGCCTCCTTCTGGAATCTAAGGGTTTTTGTTTTTGTTTTTTTTTCATTTTAATTCAGCCCTTGTAAGGTTATTTTCCACTTTAGACAATTTCATTGGACAATAATTTACATTAATAGTTGATTGTGCAATTATATCCAGACATAAGCCATTTGGAAATTGGACATAAAAACATCCTATTTGCATAGAAACTTCAGCATGGCTGTCATGTTAAAATGAAAGCTAAAGCCTACCATTATTAATACGATTTGTTTATACAATATATTTTCAAAAAACAAACATTCACCTCACCATAAACTAAAATCTCTGAAAACAACTAGTTTATAATCACATTTATAGTCATTGCTTCTACAGCTTATAATTTCCATAAAACTCCTTTTTATGAATAATTGTAGTAAGAAAAGTAAACCACATATTACATAATTCATCATGTGATTGTTAAAAAAAATTTCAACTGGGAAGTAGGCCATTGAAAAAAACAAAAGTACTTCTACTAAAATGACTGAAACAGCATTAAAAAACAAAATGCTCATCTTTTTTTTTTTTTTTAAGATTTTACTTATTTATTTGTTAGAGAGAGACACAGCGAGAGAGGGAACACAAGCAGGGGGAGTGGGAGAGGGAGAAGCAGGCCTCCCGCTGAGCAGAGAGCCTGATGTGGGGCTCGATCCCAGGACCCTGGGATCATGACCTAAGCCGAAGGCAGACGCTTAACGACTAAGCCACCCAGGCGCCCCTAAAATGCTCATCTTAAGGTAACAAACCTAATCACAGACTCCACCCTGCCTGTTTAGTGTTATGAACACTTTACCTTTCAAACTGCTATTTTTTAAAGCAAACTGGTTACAGTGGAAAATATGTTAAGAGAGCTGTAATATTCTGATGTAAAAGGGTATAATTTGTATTCTAATCATTCCATCAAATAGAAGACATTTCCGTTTTCTGCAGTGTTTATTAGCAACTCCGGTTCTTTTAACTTAACAGTCAACTGTCTCTCTAGGGGAGCCTGGGTGACTCCGTCGGTTAAGTGTCTGACGCTTGAATTCGGCTCAGGTCATGATCTCAGGGTTGTGAGATCCAGCCCCGTGTAGGGCTTGGGTACTGGTGTTGGGCTCCACACCAGGCTTGGAGCTTGCTTCAGATTCTCTCTCCCCCTCTTCCTCTGTCCCTCCCCCCACTGCATGCACACATGTGCTCTCTCTCTCTTTCTCTCAAAAAAAGTCAACTGTCTCTCTAAAAACTGTGAAAATTAATTTAAAAAAATGCACTATTCTATTACTCAACTCTGAAATTAACCACCTATCTCATCTGTGGCTGGCAATTAATTCAGGATTTTCAACTATATATTAATGGTTAAAGAAAGGCATACCTAACCCCAAATATCAAAACCAGTATTTCTTTGGCACTTGTTGGTTCCCAATGTGGGGCATCGTGTTAGCACCACTTAGCACCAGGTATTAACCATTTATCAGATGTTTCAACCATATCCGTTTGTAGCCACAGAAATTGGTATTTATTAACTCTGTAATTCTACTCTGAAGAATCTAAATAACTGCCTCCAATCATAAAAAATTTAGGTAAGTATGTACCATAATTTAAAATGGCACAATGTACATATCATGGTTATACACAATTACTTATGAAGATACGTATCAATTTAAACAATGAATGAAATCATTTGCTTCATAATCTCTCTTTTAATCTAGTATATTATTTGTATTAAATATGTGACCCCAAAGAAATACTTTTTCCCCTATGTTAAACATGAAGATGTTTCATCTTATCTCTAAAATTTGAATGAGAACCAACCACTTTTTGGCTATGACTTAAAGATGGCGGGGGGGCACAGGACATTCAATCATGGAGCAAATGAACAGTGCCAGGTGCTTGGAAGGTACTAGAATTGTAATGATTAAAACATCAGTCCTTCCCTTGTCTAGTGGGGAAGAGAAAGTGAGAAAGAATTCACAATAATACACATGGTAAATGCAAAATAGAGGTCACCTAGTTTAGCCTGGGGTTGAGGGTGAGGGCAGGGAGAATTTCTGGTAGAGGATACACAGAAGTAAGTTTTAAAAGAGTAAGTGGTTGGTGATGGGGATATGGAGGCCTGAAGGGGAAGAAGAAAAGACAATTCCAAGCAGAAATAACAGCATAAGCAGAGGCCTTGAGGGACTGTCTCTATGCCTATGTGGACAACTAAAACTAGTCTGGCCTATGCAGACAACTAAAGAAGGAACATACCTCAACATCATAAAGGCCATATATGAAAAACGCACAGCTAATTTCATCCTCAAAGGGGAAAAACAGAGCTTTTCCTCTAAGGTCAGGAACAAGAGAGGGATATCCACTCTCACCACTGTTATTTAACATAGTACTGGAAGTCCTAACCTCAGCAATCAGACAACAAAAAGAAATAAAAGGCAATTGGCAAAGAAGAAGTAAAACTTCCACCATTTGCAGACAACATGTTACCCTATGTAGAAAACCTGAAAGACTCCACCAAAAAATTGCTATAATTGATATACAAATTCAGTAAAGTCCCAGGATACAAAATCAATGTACAGAAATCTGTTGCATTTCTCTACACCAATAATGAAGCAGCAGAAGGAGAAATTAAGGCATTGATGCCATTTACAATTACACCAAAAAAAAGATAATTAGGAATAAACCTAACCACAGAGGTAAAAGATCTGTACTCTGAAACTATAAAACACTGATGAAAGAAATTGAAGATGACACAAAGAAATGGAAAAACATTCCATGCTCATGGATGGAAAGAACAGATATTTTTAAATGTCTATACTACCCAAAGCAATCTACACATTTAATGCAATCCCTATCAAAATACCACCAGCATTTTTCACAGAGCTAGAACAATCAATCCTAAAATTGTATGGAACCACAAAAGACCCCAAATAGCCAAAGCAATCTTGAAAAAGAAAGGCAAAGCTGGTGACATCACAATTCCAGACCTCAAGTTATATTACAAAGGGGTAGTGATCAAGACAGTATGGTATTGGTGGAAAAACAGACACATAGATCAATGGAACAGAACAGAAAACCCAGAAATGGACTCACAACTATATGGTCAACTTATCTTCAACAAAGCAGGAAAGAATATCTAACAGAAAAAAGATAGTCTCTTCAAAAAATGGTGCTGGGAAAACAGCCAATGTCAGAGAAGTTGCTGCCTGTGCAGAAGAATGAAACTAGACCAATTTCTTACACCATACACAAAAATAAATTCAAAATGGATGAAAGACCTAATGGATGAAAGACCTAAATGAGACCTGAAATATTAAAAATCCTAGAAGAGAACACAGGCATCAACTTCTTTTCTCTGACATTGGCTGTAGCAACTTTTTTCTAGATAGGTCCCCTGAGGCAAGGGAAACAAAAGCAAAAATGAACTACTGGGACTACATCAAAATAAAAAGCTTTTGCAGAGCAAAGGAAACCATCAACAAAACTAGAAGGAAACCTTCAGAATGGGAGAAGATATTTGCAAATGACATATCTGATAAAGGATATGTCCAAGATCTTAAAGAACTTATCAAACTCAACACCCAAAAAACTAATAATCCAGTTAAGAAATGGGCAGAACACATGAACAGACATTTTTCCAAAGACATACAGATGGCCAACAGACATATAAAAAGATGCTCAACATCACTCATCATCAGGGAAATACAAATCCAAACCACAATGAGATACCACTTCACACCTGTCAGTATAGCTAAAATTAACAACACAGGAAACAACAGATGTTGGTGAGGATACGGAGAAAGGGGAACCGAACCCTCTTACACTGCTGGTGGGAATGCAAACTGATGCAGCCACTGTGGAAAAAGTATGGAAATTCCTCAAAAAGTTAAAAATAAAACTACCATATGATCCAATTGCAGTACTAGGTATTTACCTAACGGATACAAAAATACTGATTCAAAGGGGTACATGCTCTCCAGTGTTTATAGCAGCATTACCAACAATAGCCAAAATATGGAAGCAGCCCAAGTATCCATCAACTGATGAATGGATAAAGAAGAGGTGATACACACACACACACACACACACAGAGGAATATTATTCAGCCATAAAAAAGAATGAAATCTTGCCATTTGCAATGATGTGGATGGAGCTAGAGTATTATGCTAAGTGAAATAAGTCAGTCAGAGAAAGACAAATACCATATGATTTCACTCATAGGTGTAATTTAAGAAACAAAACAGATGAACATCGGAGGGGGCAAAGAAAGAGAGGCAAACCATAAAACAGATTCTTAATTATAGAGAACAGACATGTTGGAGGGGGGGTGAGCAGGGGAGGGGCTAAATAGGTGATAGGCATTAAGGAGGGCATTTGTGGTGATGAGCACTGGGTGTTGTAAGTAAGTGATGAATCACTAAATTCTACTCCTGAAACTAATATTACACTGTATGTTAACTAACTAGGAATTTTAATAAAATCTTATAAACAAAACAAAACAAAGCTAGTCTACGGTTGCCAAAGGTGGGGCACGAGAGGAAATGTAGTCAAGTCTTAATTTTACAAGGCCTTTTGGACCATGGCAAGGGGTTTGGATTTTATAGTGTAAGAATTTTAGATAGAGATTTATGTGTCAGGTATCTCTGGATAGATCTACTTTAAAAAGAAATTGGAAGAAGGATTTGAGGTAGATAAGATTCAAGTCAAGAGAATAGTTAGGGGGATGTTTAGATACTAGGCAAAGATGGTATCTAAAGCAAG